TCGTTCGTTCGTTCGTTCGTTCGTTCGTTCGTTCGTTCGTATCGGAATACAAAAGGAAAAATGTTACATGACCGAGAAATGAGAAAACGCGTACGCTTAGTATGTAACATATTCAGTTTTTCGTTTCTTTTCTAGGTCTTGCTGTTCCTCCTGGCTGGAATGAATGCATTAATATTCTTTGTCTTACACTTTAACATGACTGAATTTCGTCCATTGAGAGGTAACTGAGATAGATCTCGACATCGATTGCAGTAATGAGTGATATCATCAACTATCAGATTGCCCTTTTTCCTTTTTCAAAGCATTCATAAGTAAATTTTGCCACAATCTCTTGAATGGATTTCCATGGGTTCAGTTATTATTATAAGAAATTTTTCGCTTTCCTTCATGTTCTCAAGGTTAATATTTAACTTATTGAATTGAGAGGTTAAAGCACCCCTTTCATTAACGTAATATGGACATAAAAGTAGAAAGTGCCTTTCATCTTCTACTACGAGGTTACATATTTGGCATTTTCTTTCTTCTGCTTACATATGGGCGCGCGTATCTTCCTATTTCAATTTGCAGGGAATGGATGCTGATTCTTAATTTTGTAAGATTTCATCTATTTGTTGCGTTGCGTTAGTATGTATATAGTATGATTAGTATGATATACCATCTATCTTCGTCAACCTCCCCCCCTCATCCCCCATTCCTCCCATAAGACCGACCTAAAGCAATGCACAATTTGCACATAAGATAACGAAAAGACAACCATTTCTTCCGCCACCGGGCCTAACAGCAGCTCAACCATGAACCCTTCCTAAAAGTAGTTTATTTCCCTCTGTAAAGAAACGTACGATGCCGTAATGTTACCAGTTAGCATGCCAAGAAATGATATTGTGATCTCCCAGAAATACGTGACGGTGCGATTTCCCCGGCGTCAAGTGCCAGCATCAGCCTCTAACAACGATGTACAATCAGGCTATCATGCAAGGGGTGTGGCCAAAGGAATGGAAACGCGGAGAATGGACTCCAATTCACAAGAACGATGATCCTTTGTGCATAGAGAATTACAGACCAGTCACCGTGCTAATGATCAGTGGATAAAGTTTTTGAAAAACTTCTCTGCCTGCAGCTGAAAGAACTAACTGAAAATATCCTTGATGTATTCATGTCAGCTTACAGAAGTACTTATAGTTGCGAGACTACCTTAGTTCGATTAGTGGAAGATTGGAAACAGTCATTAGACAACAATGA